ATATTTCAAAGTGTATATGGAAGTTGGCGTTTCTTGAAGATTCAGCGGGACACTTACACGCAGGAAGCCCTTTCCCCCTCTGGCCAGGCTGTCGCCAAAATCTTTAGGTTGTCGACCCATCTCTTCTCTTCTTTTTTGCTGATATTCTTTATCCATTGTAATTGCTGCCAAACCTTTTCCAACAGAACCGGTGATTCGAGATACAACTCCTGCTGCACCACCTATCAAAAGGCCCAGAGAAGTCAGTCACATTGCTTCTTTAAAGAGCATTACCACAATACACACATGCAGTTGCTTGAACTAACAGGTCCTTACAATTCTGTCTCATATACAAAAACGCACAAATTTATTTTTCCCATTTTCTGCTTTGCAAGAAGAGGAATAAAACTATTTAAAGCACAATGATTCAACACTACAAAGACATTAAAAAAAAAACCCAGCAGGTCAGTGTCAAATTATTTTACACTTAAGAACAAGGGAACACATCTTTTAAAGGGATTGTTAGAAAAATGATCCCTTGTTTGTTGAACATAATCATTGGTTTTTCATAAACAATGCATTTTATAGTAACTGTAATGAAAAAAATATATACACAGACAAATACATGTACGTACCTACTGTATGTCCAAAGAGACTTCTTACTCCAATTACTAATCCCTCAGCAAATTCTTCAGGGCCTTGAACAGCACCCTGGCCAAAATAAATAAGTAAATAAAATTAAAGTTTGCTACTTAAAATTTAAAGAAATTTGAAGACTTTCAATCTAGTATTTCAGAGTTTCCATGAAGATACAGAATCTGTAAGAATCCATAAACTTTGTGGTGGCACAGTTTTCACTCTCTAGATCCCAAAACTGATGGGGCACCTACTGTGTATGAAGATACTTACAACCCAGTTGTAAGCAAACCCTCAAGATGACAGAGTCGGAGAGGAGGAAACCATGGCTGCAAGCACAGTCTGAAGGTGGCCTCCTGTGCCGAGTTCCATGAGACTGCTGAAGCAAGCCACACTGACAACAGGCCCGAGAGCCCGCACAGGTTTGGCTCTCCTGTCCTCCCACTTACTCTCTTCGCTTTGTCCTTTTAAAACCCTCACGACGCTGGGCCCCTGGATCCTTTAAGCGGCGGTGAACAGGCTAGAGGAAAGCTTGACTATGAAACAAAGTCAGCTTTTAATGCCCCATTAAAGTGCCTGTCCACAGTGATGAAACAGCCTGGAAATGGCCTCAGCCTCCCTAGCACTCTTCCTTATCACTGCATGGAATCCTACAAAACACGGGCCTGCGTTAGCACCCAAACACTAGGCGTGCTCAGTTAACTCTAAAACAATCTTCTAATGTCATCTCAAGTAATTTTAAATAAAAATAAAAATTAATATATTCAGTATTTGAACATTA